CGGTTTATTTCATAAACTGCACGGCAAATTTTATTCTTGTTTAATGTCTGTTTTTTACTTTTTAGATTTCCTTTTATTTTGCTATCCAAATATAAAGTTGCCTTGCATTGCATCTGCATCGTGCAACATGTTACCCTCGAGGGGCTTTTTGGTGCAACACGTGCTTGTCTGTCCAACACAACAGGAAGACGGGGGGGGCAGAGGGGAGACAAAAGCCAGAGACAATGCAGCACACAGGACATCCAGGGCAACGCTGTGGAGGGTAAAACGCCGAGGATGGAAGTGAGGGAGAAGCTCCAGGAGCCTGTCGTCTTGTTTGGGCACGATGTTCCAACCCAAGGGAACCGAGTGGAGAGGAAATCGTTTAACACTTTTCTTTTTCTGGATGCCCAGAGGCAAAGGGGAAACACGGCAGGTCGTCTGAGAGTCATGCGTGATTATTATTTCTGCAGTGACGATTCACTTGGCTTTTCAAAACGTGCTGCAGATAAGTTCAAACTATTTACCAGTTAATTAGCAAAAAAAGCAGTTTTGTTGTTAACACATTGCAAAAGCAACAAGAGTATCATGTCAGGCCTTTATGGAGAATGTCTTTGAAGATAACATGCTTTCCTCGTTACCCTTTAATTACTACAACTACCTGGTTCATTATGATCTTTCTCCAACCAATTATTCCACCTCTCCAGCTGAGTTCTGTTCAGTTTATTGAAAAAAAACAGGCCCTGTCCCTCAGGTCCGAAGTCTGTCTCCTGTCTTCAATCATCCTCACACCAGCGCAATGAACAAACAATAGGAAGCCGGTAGGAAACATCTTGCATGTGCATCCAGGTCTGCATCTAAACAGGCTTTCCTCTGACATGTAAACAGGAGAGAGTATTGAAGGATGCCATCACAGCTATACTGCCTCGTTTTTTCAACAGCAAACCTCCTTAGCCTTCAGCATCAGTTTCCCCAAATATATATATATATATATTTTTTTCAAATATGGAAGCTCACAAATAGTAAAAAACCTGTCATCCTGCCTTTAGGACTGAAAAACGGAATGAACAAAAAAGAAGCAAGTAAGTCTTCTCATAAAATGCAAGATGGACAACTGCGAGAGTCATAGCTCGGCGCAGCTGGCGGAGTAGATTTGGGTACGAGCTCAAGAAAAACATCAAGTGTTCTAGCAGTTCATGTCCGCCATGTGCCAAGTATGACACAAAGGCCATTTGTTTTCCACATGCAGAACTCCTGCATGGTAAACTCATGACATTTCATCTCACCACTGACTGAATAAACATTAAGCACTCCCTTTGCACGGACGCTTCTGCTCGGGGAAAGTATTAAAAACAAATAAAAACAAGCACAACCCCGTCCTCAGTGCCGATATGAAAACAAAAAGCCAGAAGCCCCCTGAGCCTCTAATTTGATGCAGTACTTTCTCTAAAATCCGCATCTCAGGTTTCAGCTTGGTCCTGCAGAGACACCACACACACACACACACACACACACACACACACACACACACACACCAATAAAAGCCCCTGAAATCTTAATGTGCAATGTCTCCACTGGCGCTCCACCCACCGCCCCGGAGCCCCACCCACCAACCACCAACATAAGCAACTTCAGGAAAGACCCTCACCACGGCGCAAGTAGTCTGTGGTCACTGTTGGCCCCTCCTCCTGTTCCAGCCCCAAACTCCCCGACCTCTGCTTTTTATGATTGGATATTCGAGCCAGAGCCCAATGAAACTGTACATGCTCCCCCGAGCCGGAGGGCCGCAGTCCAATCTGCTCCAAATTACTTGCGCGGCTGCGGAGCACATGGGGTTGAAAGGCTTATATAAGCCTGTGGCAGGAATATTCAACCCATGTCACCTTCTTTTGAATTCCCTGCGCTCTTTGTCTGTTTAATCGCGACTATTTTAGCTTTGAAAATAAAAGCTCGGGGAGTAGACAAAGGTCTTTATTTCTTTTCTTCTTGTTAACCTTCATAAGGAAAGCTGTCGGATAAAACGTGTTGGGTGAATAAACTGAATTTCCAGTTACTTGTAAGATTTTACACAACAATAAAAGTTCGTCTAACAGAGAGAGGAATCAAAAGGGACCCACCCAGTACCACCCACATGAGAAGGCAGAACCTCTAATGCCCCCGAAACTGAAGAAACAAGAAGGAAGATGCTCTCAGAAAGTGAGAGGTCCCTCCCACAAGATCACTTCTAGCCACCTCAGCAGCTACCTTCAGTCCACCCGAGGCACGAATCCTCAACAACGGTCCGCCCGACAGAGGAAAAGTTATTTAACAGTATGAGACATTTGGTCTTCCTATCTAAGAACCCTCAGATACATTAGTGCTGCAAAATATTGTTAAAAAAGGAGAAGCCTGGATTCATGAAAGTCATTAGGATGAACGTCTGTGCATCGATTAAATATAAATAATTCACAGGACCAAAGTGGTGGATAGAAATGAACATGTCATCATATAAAGGTCCGTGACTCGATGCACAACACTACACAGGGATCCCCCTTGAATAAAACACAAATGGTGAGTAGCCATCGTGTATTAACTTGTCAGGAGAAATTGTGGCCTTGAAAAGACAACATGAAGAGACTGTTGGTTAATATCTACGCCGCTACGATCCATTAAAGTCCAGGTCACTGGGCTCTCATATTACTCTAACGTCTCCTACCTCGGCATAACTCTTTTCTCTTTGTATCTCTGGCTAGTGTCATCTCCAGCCAAAACATATCCGATAGCTGGCCCTCTCCTGAGCCGCTCCTAGACAAACACACGGTAAGTGAGCCAGATCTCCAGCTGTCGGCCTCCAGACAGGTTCATGGTCCGAACGGATAATAAAGATGGAACGGGTCGCCATCGTGACACTGATAGCTGAAACATTCTGGAGGAGGGAAGACACATTTCCAAAGGGGGTGGGGGGTGCTATTTTTCCACTGATGAGGGTCTCATAAAACACCGAGGATCAACAAAGACGGCTTCGGGGAGGAGGCCGTTTAACTTCTCGCACGCAGAACCCCATGAAACCAACGCATGTGAGTAATGACACGTCGAGAACTGGCTGTGTACTTTCAGGAACACTTGGAGAAGGACAAAGGAACGTTCAGTCCGCTGTCAGAGACGATGCTCGGGCGCCAGCGCAGATGCGAGTTCAGGAGTCAGATCCAGGTGGCCGAGATTTACTCTTGGTTACTCATATCTCGCCTTCCTTCACGGACGCTTAAACGCCTTAAATGGTGCCACGGCCTCCCCAATCCAAACGCATTCACTCACACTGTAAGTCACAGATAAGCGCCGAATTTACGGGGGGGTGATTTCACAGCTCTGTTGAGGAAAAGCAGCCAGCTCGTTTTTCAAAACATGTGCTCGGGTTTGTGGAGCGGTTCATCATTTTATGACTCCCGACTTGCAGAGGATGAAGCCTGTAAAAGTGTAAATGTCATCACGTGAGTATAAACAACATGGAGCTGTGAAGTAGCTTGATTAACTGTAGTGCTTCCAATCAATCTGTGAAATGCCTTTTCACCCGGACGTGCAGATCTTTCACTTCTCTACGTCACTGCGTCCAAATGACCCCGCATCATTATGAAAGCACATTAGATTGATCCCTTTTAAAGGTGGATCGTCACACAGCAGAGTCCAAATGGTGTTGACTGTCGCACACTCGCACTGTAAACAGCGAAAAGGAGACAAAGAGAAACCCTCCATCTGCTTCAACTGATTAACTCCACTACAGCGGGACATTGAAAGCTGAGTCACGCACAGGAAATCACACATTTGTCCGCCACGTCTCGCTGGCCGGAGTCACAGCTGCTCCAGAGCGAGACGTGAGTCCAGAACTCGGATTAACAACTTAATGAAAATCAAACACGACGGAAGAGGAGGAGGAAGAGGAGGAGGAGGAGGAGGAGGAGGAAGAAACAACAGACCCGCTCCCGGCGACCTCCTCTGTGAGGAATCGATGGAGACGACAGATTTTCTGAGTCACTCACTCGAGTTTCCAAAGCAGAGGCAGAGACGCCAAGAGAGTCGGCCGGCCGGCCAAGCGGTGACCCGGAGCCAAGACTTTATTTATTCATTTGTGTGCTGACAGATGGGTTTTATTGTGATAGTGTGTCTTTTCAGGTGGCAATCGATACAAAGCTGTTTTTTGAGACATCTGCCTAAAAGAAATAGGACGAAAACACTTTCACCACCAATGGAGGAAAGTAGTTTACCTCCTTTTGTTGTACTTTACTTAGCAAGAAAGTTGTACCTCTATTCATACTTCCACTAACCTTTATTCAACAGCTGCTGATTACCTTGCAAATTAAGATTTTACTTTGAAAATCCATTGTAACAGATATGAAATAGTCAACATTTGCTATTGACATAATGAAACAGTATTATTAAATACTTTTAAAATTAAAAGTATTATATTGTAATACCACAATATCAAAAGGGCCATTGTGCTTAGAGTACTTTTAGTTGAAGTACATTTGGCTGATACAAAACACATCACTAGTAAAGGTGTAGTGGAAATATATAAGTAAAAGTAAATCATTGTTGGCAAAAGTACCTGGAAGTATCACAGGTACAGGTACTACTTATTCCACCATGTGAGTGTTATAAACTGACGTATACTGTAGTTTGGGTAACGCGTATAACACATTTGAATGAGCTCATCCAACGTCAAAGTGTTTTCCTCTAAACTGCAAGAACGTTAAACGTAATAGTACCTACTTATTCCAATATTCTCCACAAGTACTTGAAAGGGAGAAGGAACCATCTCTATAGAAGTAACAAGTGATAAATGTGCAGCCAGAACCAGACGGACATCCAGCTGCAAACGTGTTGACGCCAAAGAGGCGTAAACGAGCACCGCATTTACTAAAGTCACTTTAACCGCACAGGAGATTATAATCCAGCGCATTCGTTTAAAGCTTTGCCTCTTAAACACGCCGTTAAAGCCTCCGTGACATCCCGTTGAAGTTTGAAGTTATTGACATTATTTTACTCACCTTGCCGCCCAACGATAAAAATCTCGTGCCGCAATTAGAAAGAAACTTCCATGGACGCGCGCGAGCCGGAAAAACACCCGCGTTTGTGTTTAAGATTTCATCAACTCAAAAACATCTTCAAGCGGTGCAAACATTTAGAAGAGAGAGAGAGAGAGAGAGAGAGAGAGAGAGAGAGAGAGAGAGAGAGAGAGAGAGGAGGGTCCTGACGCGGAGCCAAAGAAACGGGAGGAACGGCGAGGAGGAAGAGGAGGAGGAGGGGGAGGAGAGAGAGAGAGAAGACGGATGAGGAGATTCAGGCCTGCAGACTTTGATGATGACAGATAGATATATTTATATAGAGAGACAGATAAAGAGATGGACAGATTAAATAGACAGATGATGGATACTAGATAAAGATGGATATTTATAAATCTTTTCTTCTTGCCAGACAAAAGTTTCGACGTATGGCAGCGGTATTAATCCCCTCAACTACAGCAAGTTGTCTGGACCTGAACGGTCTTGAGATAACTCCTGTTATGATTTGATTTATATGCATGAAATAGAATGTATCATTAATATCCACCAAGTCTCATCTGATTTGCATTTTGCTCTTTCGTCGTTTATTTTCCCACTGAACTAATAACACATCGCATAAGATCCGTCTTATGCTAAACTATATGCCCGAAGTACGTCAACACGTAAACATTTAAGGCCTCCACTCTCCTGGGAATCTGGCTGCAGAGATTTGTACCCATTCAGCCACAAGAGCCACGTCAGAACGCCACGTTAGCGAGACGGGTCACTGATTGACTGTCGGGTGAAAGGGGCTCTCAGTATTGGTGGAGGTTTGTGCATGCAGGCCAATCTAGTTGTTCAACACGTAATTCCAAAATGTCTGTGTTGCCCTGAATTTAATGTTGAAAGAGGGCAGAGGGTCTTCTCCAAACTGTTGCATGAAATAAATGAATGCTGTAGTATTTAGATGTACTTTGTTCGGGGACTACATGCCGTAAAATAGTATGTGGAGGGTCCAAATGTGCTTTCTGTACGTCACACGCTCTTCCTGTCACACATGTGTCACAACCTCCTCTGAGGCAGCTGTCAATCAGCTTCGGGCAGACAGCAGTCGGAGGTCTTCCTCCCAAACTGTCAGGCGACCATGATAACCAGCCTGATCAGGACCGACGTCCGTCCCCTGCTGAACACAGATAACCAATTCATGGATGGAGGCCCCCGCCGGGACAAACATCCTCACTGCACGAAAACAAAGAACAGGGGACAATTAAATTGTTTCCTGTTGATCTAATAGGGGCTGTTGAGCAGCCATGCTGAGGACACCGTGAGTGCATGTCGTCATTTCAGAGTTGCTTTTAGTTGTCTTTGGAAGGTTAGAAAAGGTATTTGAAGACAACAGTGATCCATTCTGGATCTAACGTTCTGCAACTTGTGTCCACATGGACCACCAAAATCAACATAAAATGCCCTTAGCTTTGAATCAAACAGTTCATTTCATTTATGTATTTCAGGATGTAAAAATACATTTCTTTATGAAACAGAAAAATAATATTGCCCTGTGGTTGTTTTATTATTCATTGTTATATATTCATTATTGTTAATATATGGGTTAGGGTTAGCTTGAACCAGTTTTCAGTCAGGTATGAAAACATATGAGGTTGAACTGGCCTTGGACAATGAATCTCATAAAGAGAGATACCAAATCCTGCAAGCCATTTGTTGAATGTTTGATGGTTTTAGTTTATCAGAATCAGAGGTGTCAAAAGTATTCACATTCATTACTCAATAGAAGTACATATACTAGGGTTTAAAAAGACTCCTGTAGAAGTTTAAGTACCAACTCAAGCTTTTTACTTAAGTAAAAGTATAAAAGTACTGGTTTCAAAACTACTTAAAGTATAAAAGTAAAAGTAATGTAAGAAAGTCCATTAAGGACAAACTCTTAATGCGTAACCTCGCTCACACAACACGTCAGTCCATTACAATGTGATCAGAAGGCGCCTGCAGATCACGTGACCTGCCGTTGGGATGATGGAAACATGGCGACATTCAGAGACACGACACCAAAACAACACGTGCATCTAACTTATACAGATAAAACCACAACACATTTACCAGTGACACGAGTCACACACACGTTGTTCGCATCGATTAGGTAGACTGCAGTGTCTCCCCCAGGTTCACTACGTCATGGGGGGCGCGCCCCTGTTTATAATGATGGGAAACACTGAACTGGCAGCGGTCGGTTATCAAAACATTGGCCAAATAATAAATAATAGTTGATAGCTTAAGTAATTAAGTAAAGTAAGTAAAGTAATTTAACAACCTTTTAGGCTGTCTTGTGGCTGGCGTTTTTTTTAACACTATATAGATATTAGGCTGTAAAGCCATTGTATTATTGTTTGATTAAACATTAGTGTTTTTGAATCGCTCTTAGTCTCGACTCTCCCCTGAGACCTGTTGTCCATCGCACAAGGTGCTTGTGCCACAGACAACACAGATCACAGGATCACTGAGCCACTCAAACTCCTCCACCACGTTAAGGTGGCGATTCGCGGAGGAGATTTTTTTTTTTTATGTGGGAAACCCATAGATGGAGGGAAAACCCACAGTTGAACCCAAAGATTTTTTTTTTTTATTGGCGGAAATGGGGGGGTGCGATTTGTGTTTTTTTTTCTTCTTTTTTTGGGGGGGAGGGATGGGGGGCGATTTGCGGGGTTTTTAAAAAAAATAAAAGAATAAAATGAAATATAACTTTTTTAAATAAAAAAATAAAATAAAATATAACTTTTTTAAATAAAAAATAAAACTTTTTAAAATAAAAAAATATATATATAACTTTTAAAATAAAAAATAAAAATAAAATATAACTTTTTAAAATAAAAAATAATAAAATAAATAAAATAAAATATAACTTTTTGGCATTTGAGGACCCAACTCCTCATTCAATCTGTAATCATGAAAATGGGTATATTTTATTCCCAGTGCTCCAGTAAGTGTTCTTTTCCAACTTCATTGACTGGAAAGTAGCGGAGCACAGCGCCTGAGGAATGAGGAATCTTTTTCATCTCATCCATTTCTTTCTTTGGCGAAATGCAAGGCCGCAAATGAAGATGAGGGGATTTCTGGATCTGCGCATATACCCTGAACCCGGTCATTTGGCCAATGTTCGGATAACCTCACACAGCCGGTTTGACAAATCAATAGTAACAACTTGTGAAGGTAGGCCGATAGTTTCATTTGCCTGTCGTTGGAAATTGGGATCTCAGTTTGATTTTTCAAGTTATGCATTAGGCAAGGTAGACACACATGTCCCCCTCTATACTTTGTATTAAAGGCATGGCTAGTGGTAAAAAATAGCATCTGTTAAACTATATTTATGATATTTCAATAAGATATTATGTGATATATTAAAATATAGTGCTATATTTCTGATATTAGTTCTACATTATTAGAAATATGGAATACGATGCTATTTTATGATAGTAGTTCTACGATATTAAGTTAAATTATATTCGAAATATGGAATACGATGCTATTTCATTTTAGTTCTACGGTATTAAGTTAAATTATATTAGAAATATGGAATACGATGCTATTTTATTTTAGTTCTACGGTATTAAGTTAAATTATATTAGAAATATGGAATACGATGCTATTTTATTTTAGTTCTACGGTATTAAGTTAAATTATATTAGAAATATGGAATACGATGCTATTTTATGATACTAGTTCTACGATATTAAGTTAAATTATATTAGAAATATGGAATACGATGCTATTTTATTTTAGTTCTACGATATTAAGTTAAATTATATTAGAAATATTGAATACGATGCTATTTTATTTTAGTTCTACGGTATTAAGTTAAATAATATTTCGAAATATGGAATACGATGCTATTTTATTTTAGTTCTACGGTATTAAGTTAAATTATATTAGAAATATGGAATACGATGCTATTTTAGTTTAGTTCTACGGTATTAGGTTAAATTATATTAGAAATATGGAATACGATGCTATTTTAGTTCTACGGTATTAGGTTAAATTATATTAGAAATATGGAATACGATGCTATTTTAGTTCTACGATATTAAGTTAAAATATATTAGAAATATGGAATACAATGCTATTTTATAATATTCGTTCTACGATATTATGTTCTATGATATTGGAAAAATAAAGTATAAAGCCATGTCTCCTATATTAGTTCTACTATATTATGTCATATCAGTGTTTCCCCTAAGGGGGATATAATGGTAGGGAAAACACTGTATATGATATTAAGTTATATAATATTATAAATACTAAGTATGATGCCATGTTTGTTAAATTAGTCCTATATTATTTCATATCAGTGTTTCCCCTATGTTGCCAACTATGGGGGGGCGGACGTACCGGAGGGAGCGTGGGTGTTGGGACGCGGCGGGGGATATTATGGTAGGGAAAACACTGTATATGATATTAAGTTATATAATATTATAAATACTAAGTATGATGCCATGTTTGTTATATTAGTCCTATATTATGTTATATGAGATTAGTCCTATATAATCTTCTATGATATTAGAAATATGAAGTATAATACTATGTTTGTTATATTAGTCCTACATAATGCTATATTAGTCCTATATTATCTGGTTATTATCTATGATATTACAAATATGAAGTATGATAATATGTTATATATATTGGCATGGCATCACTGTAATATTGGCATGGCATCATTGAAACTATAGAGGGGGACATGTGTGTCTACCTTTCCTAATGCATAACCTGAAAAATCAAACCGAGATCCCAATTTCCAACGACAGACGAATGAAACTATCGGCCTACCTTCACAAGTTGTCACTGTTGATTCGTCAACCCAGCCGTGGTAGTTCATCCAAACACCAGCCAAATGGCCAGGTTCAGGGTATATGCACAGATACAGAAATCCCCTCATCTTCATCTGCAGCCTTGCATTAACCAAAGAAGGAAATGGATGAGATGAAAAAGATTCCTCATTCCTCAGAGGCCGTGCTGTGTTGCTGTCCAGTCGATGAAGTTGGAAAAAAACACTTCCTGGAGCACAGGGAATAAAATATACAATGGCAATGATATTTACCAATGAATGAGGAGGCGGTCTATGCCGGGGGTTGGGGGGGGGGGGGG